TAGATGATTTATAGATATATATTTTATTAAATTCCATTGAAATTATATTATCATTAAATAAATTATAATTTGTCGTTTTAAAACAAATTAATGAAACACAATTAAATCTAGAGATTGAAATGATTAAAATGAGACAGTCATGTAAACTGTTATTAAATTATAATTTAATATTATTTTTTTAAGTAAGTAAGTAATCAAATAATCAATCTCAATTACGACATATCTTTTACTATATAACATTATATAATATTTACTTATTCAAATAGCTATTTATGTCATGTTGTCATTTTTGATATATGACAATGTGATTGTATCTCAAGATTGAGATTTGTAGAAAGAAACAACATTTAAAGCGCGAAAAATAGACCAATTTTTGTCATATGACCATTTGTTGTGTTGCTGCAGCAACACAGAGTCTGAGAGCTGACAGACTCGGGATTTGACTGTTGTCGTCCCAGACCAATTTGTGTTATTATGATGGTTAATTAAATTGTGGTTAATATTTGAATATTATAAGCTTTGTACATAAGCTTATATACATTGGCCCAATAATGCACAAGGGGCTCTGTGCATTATTAAATAAAACGGCTTGTTAAAAGTAATCATACCATGGGTGACGAAAAAAACTTGTCTGTTTTATTATATTATATATGCTAATAATATAATGTTCTAAAACCGTCTCGACGTTTAAGAACATTTATACTCGTCATCTATCAATATTATATAATCCGTATATATGGGGGTATACGGATTATTATTTTTTATTTTCTTATTTATTTATATGTGTGGTATCAGGGATTTATCCGTCCGGACACACTGCCAAGCCTTGGCAAGTGTGGCCTGCAGTGTAACAACCTTTGAGTTGTTACCCAAAGACATTTTTGTTTTTGTTTGCGGGAGGATTCCCAAGCGTTTTTTTATTCAAAATAAAAGTGATGGTGTTGCCACACAACAAAACATAATCACAACAATATATATTAAAATTGCATTTTTATATACAATTAAAACTATAAAAACAATAAATAAAAATTTTAATATGTTAATTTAAAAAACAACTTACAGTCAAAGGCGTCTTTTTGTCGTAATTATAATTGTCGAACTTGCTTTATTGTCGCACAACTGGCCAATAATTTTGGTGTACGACAATTAAATATTTTGTTCTCGAATCTGTAACTTTTGTTGAATTAAAAACCAATTTTTTTAAAATAAATTTTCAATATTAAAATGTACTTTCTACAAAATTCACTCATTTATGACAAATAGATAATTATTTCTGCCGGATTTACGACAAATAGACGCCTTTTACTGTAATTTTATTTAACTAAACCATTTGAAAGTTATCAAACTTTTTTAATTAAAAAATAACAAATATATTCCAATAAATTTTTTAATTAAAAATAAAATTAATGAAAAATGTATATACAAACATTACACTTGACTTTATTTGTTTACTATATATTATAAATAAATTGTATTATAATTGTAGATAATAAAATGGCTAATATTTTTAAGTAATGATATAAAAGTTTTATATTATCAAACTCTGTTTTTTAATTTTTAATTGTTTTTAAAACATATTTATTAAATTTGGAACTTTGACCTATTAAAAATAAAATAAAAATAAAATTGTAATATCAAATAATAGTTTTCATTAATAATTTTAAGATTTATACGACTTATTTTGCAAAAAAATTGAAATTATTGATATAAAAGTAAAAATTGAAATTAAATTAACGTATGATAATTATTTTACTAAAAAAAAGTATTGATTTTTGTATGATATTTAATATTAAATAAATTTAACTCCAAAATATATTTTAGCGATTTATTGATTGTACAAATTTGTTTTGCATTGTTTAAAAAATGTATATATCAAAGATTGATTTTTTATAAAATCCACTATTTTTTATCGATTTTTATTCATCACTATTTACTAAATTTATCACAATAAAATAACGCGTAGTTTTCAAGACTAGTTATTTGAAATTAAAATTTAATATTTTCATTTTCAACAATTTTTCAAACATTCAATTTTTAACATTCAATAAAAATAATATTAAAACAATTATAATATTTATTTCAAACTATATAATACATTTTGTTTACAATATTTTAACTTTTTTGACAATATTTCTATTTTTATTTTTTTTATAAATTTCTGGTTTATATGTTTACAATTATAAAAAACATTCTAAAATTGACAATTAAATCATAATATTACACAACTTGAACATATCTTTACATGATCGTTTTGATATGTTTGATCAACTTGTCTTCCCTCAAAACATTTTTTTCAATTCAACGTGAAGTGTAAATCTTCATTAAATCTATACATCAATCCATACATTATAGTTGATGATGTTTTTTTAATCTTTCATTTTATTGAACAAACTTTTTTTAAACACCGAAGCTCTTTAAGTGGCATATTACATGTAAGAACAAATGTTAAATAGTGGTCATCAACGTTTCATCATTGAGAA